GGTCGCTATGGCTTGGAACTGACTCGATGGCACTTAACAATAAAAGCAACAACTCAGTGTTGAAGAATGATGAATCTTTGAAACACCTCATAACATAGAAGAACCTGGAGGGTATTATGCTGAGTGAAATCAGTCAATCATTAAAGGGCAAATATTGTATGAGACAAATGTTATAAAAATTTAAGAGACAGCTTTCTTGTTAAAAGAAACATTCTATAATGGTTACCAAGGGTGGAAGGGAAGGGAAAATTCTTCACTGGGTCGAGGGTAGATACACGTTAACTAGGGTGCTGGGGAAGGCAATATACAACAAGAGGGAGGTTGGTACAGGAAAGATGAAGGGTGTGGAAGACACAGGGAGGAAGGCAAGTGTTAAAATGAATAAAGGTCAATCCTGTTAACTGATGGCCCATGGAGTGCATGGCAGTCATTGTAATGACACCAAGTATAGGATTTGTTGAATGTGAGATTGATGATCTGTTCTGTAAACCTTCACTCAACTCACAATGAAAAGTTAAATAAATAAAGAGGGGTTCTGTAATGGTGTGGTACAGTAGAACTTGGGCTGTGAGCTGGCTTTAATCTTGGCTTTAAACTGCGTCATCTTTGACAAATGTGTTCACCCAACCTATTGTGGTGTGGATCAAATGAAATAATCCACATTTAAGCATTATGCAAACTGTCTGATTAAAAGTCACTCTTTCATCCAATTTATTATGGTGTGGATTTAATGAAACAATGATTAAATCCAATTTAAAATTCTCTAAATTATAAAATGCATCTATCTATCTATCTATCTATCTATCTATCTATCTATCTATCTATCTATCATCTATCTATCTATATCTCTCTATATATATACAAGCATATTGCTTATGCTATACTGAGTTTCCATTCACAGTGATGGAAAAATTACATTGATTAAGAGTTGGGTTGCATAACCAATTATGGTCATTGCTGCTAATAAGTTGTACACCTGTAAAAAGTTGAACTGGCAAAAATTGTTGTGTAATAGATTCTATAGAAGAATCCTGATCAAAAGAGGGGGATGTAGAACAGAATTTCAGATTTTCATGAACTCTAGATTTTCTGGAGCCATGGAAAGTAGATGAACCCCTGAAACTATTTCCCTGAGATACTCTTTAAACCTTAAAG